CCACCCCCCGTTGTACATCATCATCCAGTGCCAGATCTGCGATAGACATCGGCGATTATGGTTCTCAATTCATTCCTTTGCTTGGATGCTCTTAAAAAAGCTACGTTTCCCTGATCTTTCCCCCTTTACCAATTAGTTTCGGTTCCCTAGGTAGGTTGCTCTGGGCCTACCCGTGCCTCGTTTGCATTTAATTTTGCCAGTAGGAGCTAAATGTTCAAGATCTTTATGTCTATTCAAGTATCCCAAAAACTGCATTTCTCGTTTCCTGATTGTTTTTACCTGTGCGCGTCGCACGTGGGCCTCGTCAAGCACTAGCTGCTGTACTCACCCCAGTAACACCTCCTCCAAGGTGGTAACTCCCAACTACTCACCTCTGGAACAACACCTCTAGTCCCCAACTACTCACCTCTGGAACAACACATCTAGTTCCCAACTACTCACCTCTGGAACAACACCTCTAGTTCCCAACTACTCACCTCCGGAACACCTCCTCCATGTAGTTCCCAACCACTCACCTCAGGAACACTTCTTCCATGGTGGTAGCCTTGGTTCCGAACCCCGAGATGCCCAGCTTGTCCCGGCGACTGTCCAGCTCGGTGAACAGTGAGGGAAACAGCGCGCTCTGATCGGCCGGGAGGGAGTAGCTGATTTCTGAGCCGACTTCTTCCTCGTATTCACTGCGGACATTTCGTTTTGATTCAATCTGGAGTAATCATCACATCGTTTAGCAAATTTTTAAAAATATGTATTTTGTAAAATGATCCTGGGATAGCAATCATGTACATACATTGTTCCAAAGTTTGGGATTCTTGACGTCAGTTAAAACCATTAACGAGAGTGGTTTGTGGGTGCGTCAGTTAGAACAATTAACGAGGGTGGTTTGTGGGTGCGTCAGTTAGAACAATTAACGAGGGTGGTTAATGGGTGCGTCAGTTAGAACAATTAACGAGGGTGGTTTGTGGGTGCATCAGTTATAACAATTAACGAGGGGGGTTTGTGGGTGCCACTGTTATGGCCTACTTCTTGTCTTTCCTTTTGTCAAGCCCACCTTTTCTTTGCACTAATATAGCCAGTATTGAGTGTATGTGTATTTTTGTGCTCGAACTAAGAACTGGAGAGGTCAAGAGAAAAAGCAGACTGTGTCACAATAATCCTACCGCGACTCGTCACATTCTCCACTTCTCTTCTTGTTGCGTGATTTACTGTCACAAAAATACAGATTGTGAGTGACTGACTTGTTTTCTTTTCTTTTTTTCTTTCATTTGAATGATTTCAACCGCAGATATTGTTGTAAGTCAAATACTAGTTCCCTGATTATTTTTAAAAATGGTCTTATCCTGTTTTTATCTTGGCCCCTTCCTTTGTTATCTGTACAGTCCAACTTGCTTGAAGCGCCACCTGTGTAAGACAAATACCTGCACAAACAACAACCCCCCCCCCTCCCTTGTGTGTTTTCCCCTACATTAGAATGCCAGTGTGGAAGACATCCACCTGTTTAAGACAACCACCACTTTCCCCCTCGACACTGAGTGGCTGACACCTAGGACAAAAGTGACATGACTTTGTTGACCCACCTGCCCGGCACCATGGAGCGGACAATGTCTGTGATCTCCTCCACCTGGCACCCCTCTCCCTTCACGATGATCAGGTGGTAACCCGCGCCTGATGAAAGGAAAACAATGGTAACAGACAACAGAAGGCAAGGATAAAGAACGCGTGAAAGTGGAAGAAAAAAAGAGGGGAAGAAAGAAAGAAAGAAAGATAGAAAGAAAGAAAGAAAGAAAGAAAGACAGAAAGAAAAGAATTACCACATAAACAACAGAATGTAAGGATAAAGAAAACTAGAAAGTGAGAGAAAGAAAGAAAGAAAGGAAGGAGGAATGAATGAATGAATATAAGAAAGAATTAAGAAAGAAAGAAAGAAAGAAGAAAAGATAGAAAGAAAGAAAAAAAAAGATAGAAAGAAAGAAAGTCAGGCAGAAAGAAAGAAAGAAAGAAACTAAGACATGAACAAGCCTCAAGACTGGTCTTACCAAAAGTGCGTACCACATTTACCAAGTTCCTGTCACTAACTCTAAATCTCCCACTAACCTTAGCCCACTCCCACACCACAAACTTCTCACCCATCATCCATGAACCCTTTGACCCCTGAACTCCTGGGGCTACCGTACCCCTCAGCCTGAGCTCCTGAGCGATACATTAATAACATTCATGTGATCGTCAGAATCACATTCCATACCCTTCAGTGTACCTGTGACCTACGGACAGTTTTATACACCGTCAGTGTACCGGTGACATACGGACAGTTTTATACACCGTCAGTGTATCGGTGACATACGGACAGTTTTATACACCGTCAGTGTACCCGTGACATACGGACAGTTTTATACACCGTCAGTGTACCGGTGGCTAGGGTTCAAAGGGTTAAATTTCTTTAAAAAACTGCTTAACCCTACCCTGTCCCACTGACCGTAAAGTTTATTCAAGAACACGGAGGTCCTTCACCCTCCATCCCCCAACCCCCACTGACTGTAGAGAGTCTTCAGGAACATAGACGTCCCTCAACATTTGAGCACCACTTCCCCCTCCTCCCCCTCCCCCCTCACCCCATCCCGCCACTGACCGTAAAGTTTCTTCAAGAACATAGAAGTCCCACAACACTTGAGCATCCTTCCCTCCCCCCCCCCCCCAACCACTGACCGTAGAGTTTCTTCAGGAACATGGAGGTCCCACAACACTTGAGCACCCCCTCGGCCATGATGGCGATCCTGTCCCCCAGAGTGTCCGCCTCGTCCATGGCGTGTGTGCTCAGCACGATGGTCCGGCCTCTCTTGTGTCTCTGCAGGACGTCCCACATCTGTCGGCGAGCTGCCGGGTCCATGCCTGAGCTGGGCTCGTCCAGGATCACCACCTGGGCACAGATATAGAATGACGTCACTACCTGGACACAGAGATAGAATGACGTCACCACCTGGACACAGAGATAGAATGACGTCACCACCTGGACACAGAGATAGAATGACGTCACCACCTGGACACAGAGATAGAATGCAAAAGTTGCTGGTCCGTCAACAATGTCCTTAAAACAGGTCGATATGCGCGGAGCCCTCTTTCTCGGAGACGGTTGTTTACAGTCTGATGACACTCTGAAGTACTTTGACCGTTGAAGAGGCAAACACAAAACGATCCCCACAGGTGATGAAGCTGAATAAAGCGATCCTGGGTTCGAGTTGTTGTCCTTGACCGTCCACTTCTCGGTTGATCGGCAGTGGAGTTGGACTGTTGATACCTTGCAAAAAGTCGGCTGATGGTAGACTGTGACACGTTGAAATGTGTTGCAACATCAGTTTGGCTTTCTCCGGCTTGCAAACGTCCAATAGCCAGGTTTCGCTCTTCTATCGTTAGTCGTGGCATGGCGTATCACTGAACGGACAAGTCATGAAATCGTGTGTTTTTTTCAATTTTTCTGCCCATTATAATATAGCCACCCAGTGAATGAACTCACACGCAAAATTTTATGCAACTACTCACAAAATTAGACAAGTTGTGAGCTCTTATAACACCCAACCTTCAAACAATTCAACAGCTCAGGCTGCGCTTACCTGCGAGTAAACGATGAAATTTGTTGTGAAAAGTTCAAGACAACAAGTCACACATATGTGGGAAAAAAACTAGCATGCACAAAACCTCATCTTGACTGATTTTATTAACACAAAAACGCATGTACTTGGTTATGCGTTTCTTTTTTCTTTTTTTGAAGAGTATACTAGTTGTTTCTACAAAATGCTCAATGCGCAATACATAAAAAAGACATCACATTTTAAAAATTAATCGACCTGAGATTACGTAAAACACGGTATTATGTATGTATATATATATATATATATATATATATATATACATATATATATATATATATATATATATATATATATATATTTAATATGTATATGTATAAAATGTCTACGAGAACAACAGTCTCGCCGAGAACCCAAAAGAGCGCCTCCTGGCGTTGAGGGTTTCCCTCGTCTGGAGACAAAGAAAACGTTTCCGGACAAAAGACTTGGCTGACCTTGGAGCCTCCGATGAGAGCGATGGCCACAGACAGCTTCCTCTTTTGACCACCGGACAGGTGCTGGGCCTGGCAGTTCTCTTTGCCGGTCAGGGACACGTCGTTGATGATGTCAGCTATGACAGTGTCCATGTCGTCACTGACTCCTTTCACCTGAAGTCACACACAGGGGCAAAAGTACAGGTGAATACAACGACACTGTTATATAATATGTATATCTCACAGTGGGGAGAGGTGGATACAACGACACTGTTATATATGTATATCTCACAGTGGGGAGAGGTGGATACAACGACACTGTTATATATGTATATCTCACAGTGGGGACAGGTGAATACAACGACACTGTTATATATGTATATCTCACAGTAGGGAGAGGTGGATACAACGACACTGTTATATATGTATATCTCACAGTGGGGAGAGGTGGATACAACGACACTGTTATATATGTATATCTCACAGTGGGGAGAGGTGGATACAACGACACTGTTATATATGTATATCTCACAGTGGGGAGAGGTGGATACAACGACACTGTTATATATTATGTATATCTCACAGTGGGGACAGGTGGATACAACGACACTGTTATATATGTATATCTCACAGTGGGGAGAGGTGGATACAACGACACTGTTATATATGTATATCTCACAGTGGGGAGAGGTGAATACAACGACACTGTTATATATGTATATCTCACAGTGGGGACAGGTGGATACAACGACACTGTTATATATGTATATCTCACAGTGGGGACAGGTGAATACAACGACACTGTTATATATGTATATCTCACAGTGGGGACAGGTGAATACAACGACACTGTTATATATGTATATCTCACAGTGGGGACAGGTGGATACAACGACACTTTTATATATGTATATCTCACAGTGGGGAGAGGTGGATACAACGACACTGTTATATATGTATATCTCACAGTGGGGACAGGTGAATACAACGACACAGTTATATATGTATATCTCACAGTATGTATATCTCACAGTGGGGAGAGGTGGATACAACGACACTGTTATATATGTATATCTCACAGTGGGGACAGGTGAATACAACGACACTGTTATATATGTATATCTCACAGTGGGGACAGGTGGATACAACGACACTTTTATATATGTATATCTCACAGTGGGGAGAGGTGGATACAACGACACTGTTATATATGTATATCTCACAGGGGGGAGAGGTGGATACAACGACACTTTTGTAGATCTCATAGTGGGAGCACGGAAGGATAGTAAAGCAAAAATATGAATGAATAAATAAATACATAAATAATTACTTAGATATATACATTAACAAATAAATAAAACTGAGTAAAATAACAAATGAACGGATAAATAAATAAATCAATGAATGAAAAAAAACCTTGAATGAATGAATGAATGAATGAATGAATGAATGAATGAATGAATGAATAATTAAACAAACAAAGAGATAAACATTAATAAATAAATACAAACATACAAAAATGAACAAGTAAATCAATAAATCAATATAAACATGAATAAATGAATGAATAAATGAATGAATAAATGAATGAATGAATGAATGAATAAAATACGTATTAAACTTGGTGGGGAAATTTTAGTTTACTACGGCAAGTGCAATAGGTATACAAAATATTTCAGAGATAGAAGGGACCGTGTGAAATGTCGGTGTTCTAGTGGTTAGCTTGTTGTGTTTGTTCTAGTGGTTAGCTTGCTGTGTTTGTTCTAGTGGTTAGCTTGTTGTGTTTGTTCTAGTAGTTAGCTTGTTGTGTTTGTGTTTGTTCTAGTGGTTAGCTTGTTGTGTTTGTTCTAGTGGTTAGCTTGTTGTTTTTGTTCTAGTGGTTAGCTTGTTGTGTTTGTTCTAGTAGTTAGCTTGTTGTGTTTGTGTTTGTTCTAGTGGTTAGCTTGTTGTGTTTGTTCTAGTGGTTAGCTTGTTGTGTTTGTTCTAGTGGTTAGCTTGTTGTGTTTGTTCTAGTTGTTAGCTTGTTGTGTTTGTTCTAGTGGTTAGCTTGCTGTGTTTGTTCTAGTGGTTAGCTTGTTATGTTTGTGGTCTAGTGGCTAGCTACTGGACTCGCCATCGTGAGGTTGCGGGTTCAAGCGTCCTTGGGAAAGTCACTTTACACAAATTTTCCTCACTTCACCCAGGTGGGAATGGGTACCCGGCCATAGACGGCGAAAGATCTTGTCAGTTTGTTAGTGTTTTAGCGCATATAAAATGGCTGCTTGCACTGTATGATTCCCAGGAAGTTGAGGTTGTTTCAGAATGCTCTCAGGTCTGCTGGGGTAATAGTATAGATTGTGAAGCTCCTAGAGCTAGCTGTTGAGCGTGGATTTGCGCAAAACAAATGTTAACTACTACTACCATACTGAAGCTCTCCTTGTACAAATGCTGTCTACTATGATCATACTGAATCCCTCTATTACTATCCCAATGAATCCCTCTATTACTATCCCAATGAATCCCTCTATTACAATCCTAATGAATCCCTCTATTACAATCCTAATGAATCCCTCTATTACAATCCTAATGAATCCCTCTATTACTACCATAATGAATCCCTCTATTACTACCATAATGAATCCCTCTATTACTATCTTAATGAAGCCCTCTATTACTATCCCAATGAAGCCCTCTATTACTATCCTAATGAATGCCTCTATTACTACCTTAATGAAGCCCTCTATTACTATCCTAATGAAGCCCTCTATTACTATCCTAATGAAGCCCTCTATTACTATAGTACTGAAGCCACCAACTACAACCATAGTGAACCCCTCTATTACTATCCTAATGAAGCCACCAACTACAACCATAGTGAAGCCCTCTATTATCCTAATGAAGCCACCAACTACAACCATAGTGAATCCCTCTATTACTATCCTACAGAAGCCACCAACTACAACCATAGTGAATCCCTCCTTTACCTTGGCGAAGAAGTACAGGTGTTCCCTAACGGTCAACAGGTCAAACAGGATGTTGTGTTGTGGGCACAGACCCAGCGTCTCTCGAACCTGGTCAATGTTGGACCGGATGTCGTAGCCGTTGACCACCGCTGTGCCAGAGGTGGGAGGGAGGAAACCTGGAGGGAGAGAGGAGAAGTGGGTGGTTGGCGGGTGCTCTGTTGTGTGGGTGGTTGGCGGGTGCTCTGCTGTGTGGGTGGGGTGGTTGGCGGGTGCACTGGTGTGTGGGTGGTTGGCGGGTGCACTGCTGTGTGGGTGGTATGCGGGTGCACTGGTGTGTGGGAGGTTGGTGGGTGCTCTGGTGTGTGGGTGGTTGGCGGGTGCTCTGCTGTTGTTTGCTACTTTTTTCCTATCAAACATTTATCGTCCTTATCTCCCCTCCTTCTTTTTTATGTTTGTTTCTCTCTTGTAACAGCTCTAAGCTTCGGCACCTATACGACCTGATTGTGTTGCAAGTGCCGTAAAACTCTTACCAAAACTAAACTAAAAAGAAGTGGTTTAGATGTTAGCGAGAGTTTATTGTTCGCCAAGGAATGACAGAAACGGATGACCAGAAAGGTGGGGAGTCATGGAATAAAATCTAGAGGCTAGCCCAGGATAGAGGGGGGTGGGGAATGTTTGTTCGTGGCTTGTACTCTGATGGAGGGTGAGAAAGGCAATATGATGGGCAACTGGGATGCCTCTATACATTTTCCTCTTTCATCACACGTTCACACAATTAACTTCCTGTCAGCCTCTTGTAGAGATACAATTGATATCCTTGATGACTTGCATCAATTTCTTTATAATTAGCCCATTGGCCTGGTACTCACTTAGTCACTTCCGTCTAGTCTGTAACCACACGTAACCCTAAGACCCCCTTTGTTAGGCCCATTTCCCTGCTAGTATACAGCGCTCGTTTAGTTTTTCTCTCAGTTGCTCCTGAGGAAGCCCACGAGGCGAAAC